TATGCTTTGTAAAGTGTTTAGCTCTTCGTTTGTGTTGGGCTTATTTAATAATATTTGATGAAAAATGCTGGTAAAATATTGATTCTATTTAAATAGAAATTTATTAAAAATTAAATTTGTCACCCTAAGTCATATTCTAAAAAAATGTTGTCTTATCTAGAACTTTAATTGACCTAGGATGATTAGGTATCCAGCGAGAAATAACCGATAAGTTAGAATCATATTCACACCGAATATAAGTTGCATCATAAGTAGTAATGCTTGAATAATAAAAAATAGTTCACAGATATTGTCTTAACTCATCCGAGCTGTATAACTACTTATCCAGTTTACACATTTGTAGACGATGTTTAACCACCAAACTTACAGTCTAACGTTCATCTAAGATCGTGCAAGAAGAGGTCTGTAGAGTGGAGCAACTGGCAACTGAAATATATTCAGCCTATTTTTTATAGTGATATGAATATCATCAGTTAAATGTACTGGTCCTCTCAAGGCCTACTTATAAGTAGTGTGATATATTGCTATGACAAATACAACTTTGCATATAGAAAAAGGCCTGGTCTTCATTTAAATTCACCGTTTCTCTATGATCTAAGGGTATTCTTAGCATTTTCGTATAGTGTTCAATGTATCATGGCTATAAGTGGTATTATCCGCGATCTAGTTTGGGTGGGGATACTGATGAAATCATTCATGCGAGGTCTAAACTACATTTCATCATGTAGGAGAATATCTTTTGGAAGCAAAGCTATGAAAAATTCAATAATTACATAGGGCTCTGGTTGAATGCAATTAATAGTCTTCACCATCACCTTAGACGATATAGGACGAATATATTCAATATATATGATCTACTGATAGTCTCACAAATCTACTTATAGACAAAAATTATGAAATAATTTATTCGAAATATATACAACTTATTTTGTGTAAGGTAATAAAAGGCTGTTAGCTGAATTTCCCCATAATTAAATTAGTATTATCAGTTGAATATCCACCATTTATAGGATCTACTGGTAATCTCGACAGGCTACTTATAAACGAAAGATAAGTAGTGTAGTCGATTGCTATAACAAATACAACTTTGCTTCATCGACAAAGTGTAAATGCATCTTATGCATACGATCTACATATTGGTTGCCTTGAAAAAATTGTTGTTAACCAAAAAAAGAACTTATTTATCCAACTCTTCATTCCACCTGAGAATTCAAGTAGTGTGAAATTGGTTTTGCGATTATGATTAATCTGTACTAGATTTCCGTCTGTCATATAACGGATGTAAGCAGGTTGGGAAAGAACCATTTACGAAGGGTATTTTTGATGTGCATAGGTTTTTAGAAAATGGAAATTTTTGACTAAGAACTTGATCATTCAAATATGCATCTTTCCATTACATTCCAAATAAATTTCTACCGATAATCTTAAAACTCATTCGAAAATAAGTAAATTTCTCGATTACAAGTTTGTTTCATCGATACTTGCCATCATTATTGTGAGTTGGGAAAAAAGTGATTCTGCCCCTGCTACCAACCGGCATGATCAACTGTTTTGTGCAGTTTTAACGTCATCATAGCATTCACGACACTATTTCTCAAAAGGTATTTTTTATTCCAAATCAAGTGGACTGCAGTTTCGACCTCGAAGCTGGATTTGAAGCATGACAATGCAAAGTATAATCTCGACACGCTAGCAACTACGAAATATTGCCACAAGGTGGATGCGAATTACGCTGACAACCAGGCATTTTCCCATAGCACACTCTGTGGTTATTGCTAAGGCGATCGATCATACTACTTATTTTCGTTTATAAGTAAGCTTTCGAGACTATCAATATATAATTTATTTATGAAGTTTATTAAGTCTATTTGACTTACGGTTCAACCGTTGAAAGCATGCGCTGAATTGTCAGGGTTTTAGACACTCTGCGAGGTCGAAATTGCAGTCCACTCCGATGAGGCAAAGAATAACTTTGGGAGATTTAATGGAAAATTAATGTCAAATCATATCGTTGAGGGAAAAATTCAACTGTCAGTCCCCTTATCACTTTATATATAAATGATCTAACAATATACAAAAGAACATAATAAGACTCATACATTAAATAATCCAGCCAATAATTGCTAACTCCAACAAAATAATATTCATTATTTTCAGTCTTTCGGGAGGCAACTTGTATCAAAGTGTCGTAGAGTAATGGAAGACAATCTAGTCGGTCGGAAAAAAACATCGAAAATTAGGGAAAATGTTAAATTAAATTAACATAGTGACTTAATGAAAAGTCTTCAAGTATGTCAATTGACTCTTATCGGTTTACAAGATTTTTACTCGTGAACAGACTGTCATATTTAGTGATTTTTTCATTTTTCAATAATACTCCATATTAGTATGTTAATTGTAAGCAAAACTGGTTATTAATATGGTTATCGCCTAGTAACAGTATCCGCTTACAATAGATAGCGATTCTGACCCATTGATACTTGAGTTCTCGTGCTTTATGGCCTTATTGATCGACTTTAATTAGAAGATTGAAGAGTCGGCAACAGGTCAACACGAATTCGTTTTGGTATTGCAGCCAACCGTTATTTATTTTTAGTCACAACTACATACGCTGAGGCAGGTATTGGTAAATCGAATTATTCTAATTAGGAAAGTATATTATATACGATGTTTATGTGATTTTGGGAGGGCAAACACAAGGCGATAATGACTATAATTTTGATAAACATATTATGAGTTTGAGCAGATACGCCAATAGCACTTTAATATTTTACGCTCTATTGAATCTAATATACAATTAGTTAAAACAACTTTGGATATGAACGCAAGATGTACTCGCTTTCCGGTCAACTTGAACTAATGCTGTGGCTATGCAAATGTATTGTTCAAAAAGAAATTGAACGATATAAATTAGTGCTACTCATTAGTAGTGTCAGTTTGATTTGATTTTTGCATATTTTGACTAATTAGTTCGTCAAAAATTAATTTAAATGTTGTTCTACAAAATAATTGTAGACGCTTTTGAAGAAATTGTATGCTAATACTCCACTGTTGTTGACAAGTCTAATTTTGAATTTTTTTTTCTAATAAACAGAGTTTTATAATGGCAATCTTTAACATAAATTGATTTTACTTTCACAATTTATTGGCATTGGTAAATTGAATTATTCCAATTCGGAAATGATATTATATACGATGTTTATGTGAGTTCTGGAGGGTAACCAGAAGGCGATGTTGCTCTGCAATGTCTATAATTTGTGATAAACATAGTATGAATTTGGTTAGATACGCGTATAGCACTTTAATATTTAACGCTTGATTGAATCTAATATACATTTAGTTAAAATAATTTTAAGTATAAATGCAAGATTTACTCGCTTTTCGGTCAACTTGAACTAATGCTGTCGACATGCAAGTGTACTGCTCAGAAGGAAATTGAACGTTATAAATTATTGCTACTCATTAGTAGTATCGGTTTAAATTAATTTAGTATATTTTAGCTTATTAGTACGTCAAAAGTTAATTTAGATGTTGATCTACAAAATAATTGTAGACGGTTATGAAGAAATTGCATGCCAATACA